TTAAATTCAAAAACTTACACAAAATCTTATATTAACAATAGTACTGGATAATTTACTTACATACTTACGCCTGTTACTCTTCGTGGAGGAGGAGGCCGCTAACCAATATTTTAAATCTAACCCTGTCCTGAGCAATCCTATCCAGTTCTTTCCAGTTGTTATTCATCCTTATTATATTAGCTTCTATTTCTTGACGTAATGTGTTCTTTGGCCTTCCTCTTTTCCACTTCCCTTCAGGATTCCAAGTTAGGGCTTGCTTTGTGATGCAGTTTGATGATTTGCGTAATGCATGTAACTCCGACTGTAGCTCTTCTACAGTTACTGCCGATTCTAAGCCCGGGTAAAGGAGGAGGGTTGTGCATGAGGTTAGCGATCCCATCCCGTGGAAAACTAACTCGCTAAAAAACGCTAACCAGAAAAATTAATTCAAACCATTTGAACTCTGTCCTGGGAGTTAGGTTTTCACCTAGAAGAACTATGACGCCTCATGGTGAAATGCGAGTTCCTTCGAAAGTCACGAGGCCGATGCCTCTTCTAACAACCAGAGCAACAATTTTTACAGGTGCATGGAACGTACGGACAATGTGGGAGCTGGATAATTTACCATGTGCAAATTAGATATATACAACCGAATGGTCAGTTCATAAAGAAAAATAACATACTTACCTAGTCCCCTAGTGTTGATCAAATTCTACCGACTCAGTTACAATGGGGGAGATTAGTTTGAATGACTTGATATCAAGTACACTGCACTCAAATATTATATGGTTGAAAGTAGTCCTCAAGAAATCTCATACCTAACTTGATCAACAAAACTAGATCAGTACTGAATTGTATACGTTGTGAGATTGATTACTATCCAGTGATCAATAAATGTGAATACTCTATTTCTGTGAGAGATTACTTGAGGCCTGAATAGCTCAATGGTATTGCCTGAACCCATGAAGTCAAGTGATGTGGGTTTGAATTCCAGAAGATGTATCAATTCCTTCACGAATGGAAGTAGGCCATGTTAAAGAGTGCCGGCTTGCATGAAATCGTGGTCCAATGTTCTCTATAGAATACATTCAACATAATTTGGGGTTTTAAGTTGCAATCTTTTACGTACAAGAATCAGTAATACTAACCCAGCTATTGAAATCGAAATAGGTAAAGTGGTTCTCAAGCTTACGATCTATTAATTGAATGTTATATACTTGAACCAATAAAAGCATTACTTTACTCCATTAATACTACTATATAGCTTATAACATCTAATACTGATGTAAATGAAATAAGAATATGACTCGTTTGATATAAATTATTATTATGCGATTGACTAACTACTTATTCACCTTCCAAATAGTAGTATCTCCTACCATTCATATTGTTTTTATTGATTCAAGGACGGGAAAATGATTTATTGATGTAGAGTCTGGTACAATAAGTCACCATAAACAAACGAACCACACAAATAAAGTAATAACATTAAAAAGAAATAGAGAAAGGTGATGCAGTCAAGATATAGGCGAACAAGATGAGTATATAGGATACATACTTACTTTCGCCTGTTACTCCTAATGGAGCATAGGCCGCCGACCAGTATTCTCCAACCCACTCTCTACTGGGCCTTCTTTTCTACTTTTATCCAATTCTTGTTCATTTTTCTCGTGTCTATCTTCATTCCTCAGCGTCATGAGTTCTTTCGTCTTCCTCTCCTTTGGTCTCGAGTATCCATGTGACAGCTTGTCTTGTGACTCAGTCAGGTGCTTTCCTCAATGTGCGTCCTATTCACTTCCAGTGATTCTTCCTGATTTCTTCCTCTTCTGGGATCTGGTTTGTTCTCTCCCACAGTAGGTTGTTGCTGATAGTGTCTGGCCAACGGATCCGAAGTATTCTGTGTAGACAGCTGTTAATAAACACCTGTATTTTCTGGATGATGGCTTTTGTAGTTCTCCAGGTTTCCGCGCCATACAGTAGAACTGTCTTGACATTTGTATTGAAACTTCTGACCTTGGTGTTGGTTGACAGTTGTTCTGAGTTCCAAATGTCCTTCAGTTGTAAATATACTGCTCTTGCTTTGCCGATCCGCGATTTCACATCTGCATCAGATCCACCGTGTTCATCAATGATGCTGCCCAAATATGTAAAGGTTTTTACATCTTCCAAATCTTCTCCGTCAATTGTGATTGGATTGGTGCATGCTGTGTTGTATCGGAGGATCTTGTTTTTCCCTTTGTGTATATTGAGACCTACTGCTGCTGAGGCTGCTACAGTTTGGTTAAAAATACAACCACAAAATATTTAACTCAGTTTAAAGTGTAACTAACATTTTTATTAATAATTTAATAAGAAATTACACGAGGGTCGCAATCAGCTTCTATTCTGATCAATGTCTGGTAATGTTTCAAGCCAATGAGTTGTGTCATCGCTAGAACATCAACCAAGGAATCATGATGGACAGATAGATGCCGGCAAGTCCTACACATCTTTCTTTCATAATAAGAAGCACCAGACAACTGTTTCGCTACAATATACAGTTCATCTGCGTCTATTCATGACTCTACCCGGGATCGAGCTAAGGTCAGTCAGATATGTGAACCATAAAATTCAACAATTGGTGAGTACTAAAACAATCACGAGCTCACTAGTAACTAAATTCAAGAAGTTATTATAGGAGTTGTAATGAGAAGCTGTAAACAATTGAGTTCAGACGTGTTTAATGTGAGAGTTACCCAACCAATGGCAATGGATCATAACTTGATTAAGGTTAAATGATTAATTCGCTAAATGCCAGGTTGGTGGTCTAATGTTAGTCATTAGATACTCATTCAGAAACCTCGATTTGTTCACTGATGGTAGTAGAACATGGATAGGGATTCTTATGAAGCTTAATACTATAGCACGAAGCAACTGTCCAGTACCACCTGATTTTCAATGGTTGTTCAGCTCAAATCACTGTGTGATGTAAACGATGCACTTAATTTAAAACCACAAAATGTCAACTGATTAGAAATATCTTCAATTTGTTACTCTTAATGACTAACGATAGTCCAATCTTAAATTACTCATAATTTCAATCAATTTGTCATATCAAAAAGGATTTAAGCAAGTTCAAACCTTAAGAACGATTCTAAGGGAAATTCTTGTTCATATTTCTATTGTATAATAACTTATTTATTTATTTACACATATAAATATTGGTACAAGGAAGCATCAAATACACATGCGCAACATAGATCATTCAATCTATGTGAAAACTGGGATACTGTACGGGTGTCCAAACACAACCTGGTGGTTTAATTAGGAGGCCACACAACGAGCCTTCGACCTGAAGGTCTAATCTACAAGGCAATGGAGCAACGTCAGAAGACACAGTCCCATGGTAGTCGGTGATCGATAATTGTTTCATACACCATTTGTTTCCTTAGGATCCTGGAGCCCATGTGCACCAATGGTTTGGAATCAGAGTTATCTAACTGCACTAGGTGGATACTCCATCTCCACCAATCCGGTTTCCGCACTGGATATTCACTTTTCATTCTCTCAATTTCATAAACAACACCCACGCCACGAGAGGTCAGTGAGTAGAACTTTCCTGGCAGTCGTCGCATGCACGTGGCGCCTAACTTTAATTTCAATACAAAACATTCGAACAGGTTAGTTGTATTCTCTGTTTTCAGTTATGACTATTATAGTATGTAATCGTTAGCTCTGGGAATTACTAGTTCACATATTACGTCATATATTGGCTGACATTTTGAAATATCTTAAGGGAGTCAGGAGTAAATCAATAATCAGACAAGATAACACAGTTGCTCTCATAATAAACGTCCCGATCACACGAACACCAAGATAACTTAAGAATCTATACTTTTTGCTGCCTATGCATAAAAATCAATTAGTTGGTCACACTGGTTCCAGATCATTTAATTTGATTCAAATTACCTAAATTCTCTCAGTGAGTTTTTACAATAGTTTGATGGCAATTTTCAACGAGAAAACTATTGAAAACCGTAGTAGAGAATAGGACGTACTATGTTGTCGAACTTCAGTAGTTCATATACACAACTCTAAAATGGCATGAAATACGTAACCATTAACTCGTGTCAACAGGTTAAAAACACAAAGACCATAAACTACTGAAAGGTGGCCCTAACAGTTCGTGCATATTCAATATTGTCAGTATCACGTTGTGGCGATTATTGAGTTTTTAATTGATTCTCATAGTTTTAGTGACCAGTGGAGCTAATCCGTGTCGGGCATGAGAAAGTTATCCAACTCAGACAATCGAAGATGGTTGCGCAATTTCCTGGACTGGTTGAAATTAGCCATTAACACCGTTGGATGTCGAATCAGTGTTCAAGAGTTTAAGCGTTCGCGCGCGAGAGCGAAGACCATGGGTTCGGATCCCGTATGTGAGATCATGGATGCGCACTGCTAAAGAGTCCTACACCAGGACGAAACGGCCGTCTAGTGCTTCTAGGTTATTAATGGTGGTCTAACACTGATCGGTTCATGATCTCAATCAAAATATTCAATATTATTTCCCGTTTGTAATACAGTGAAGATCTTCATGCAATCATTATTATTGAACAGCTTTCTGATAATAAGATTGTGGAGCGGCCAGTGGAGTTTAATGTGTGTAGGATGTGAGATAGTTATCAATCGAAGATAATAGGTGAGGCTTGAGCAACATCGTGAATATTGATTGAATGTCGACGTTAAAACAGTTGGAAGCCCGTTCAGCAGTCTAAAATTTATATATGTATTCGTTTGTGTCGGTCGTTTGAACCTTCCATAGATGTTCAGAAGTGCGATTAATCAGTCTCTTATGGTGTCAGTGTATCTTGTGCGGACTCGTTCGATATTGCCATTAAGTCACAAGCATTATAAGCAGAGTCGGATGATGGCTAGCAGCAGCATGCAAAATACGTGTTCCATCCTATGTAGAACTCGTCAGCTGGATGTAACTGCTTCCTGAAGTTGATGTTTGTAATGAAAACTAAAAATTGTTGTTTGGTAAAAATGTATATTATTTACCATAACAATAGTAAATACAAGCAAAATGTATCATCACTGAGATGAATGGATAACTTTGTTTTAAAGAAGTTTTACCAACAACCAACACGTACACACAAACACTTCACTTATAGCCTTCTATGAATAAAATGCTAAATAAGCTGGAATGCGTATGTGTGCGTGCATATGTCCTGGAAGATTGGTAACGGGTGGATAGGCATATATTTATGTATAGTAGTCAGTATAAAACACAACAAACTAATCAAAGTTCTTGCACACAGCATTTATATAGAATACTAATAATAACAGTAATAATAGTGTTAAATATTATCTTTGAAAAAGAGACAAACAATCTAAGGATATGTTGTCGATTACATCATTATTGTTACTACAACAGATAATAACAACAGTGTAATGTATACTAATGTTACTGGTGTTACATCTACTACTTATAAGGCACATTAATTAAATAAGTAGTAAACACAGAGATGATTGAGAAGTAAACAAGATAGGAATGAATAAGAGATTGAAAAGAAACCTAAACAATGTTATTATTATTGTATTATGATTTCTTCTTGTTGCTATATGTATCATAGAAACTATTTTATGTGAAATAAAAGTGACTGAAAATTAAAATGTATTTAAAGTAAACAAAAGTAATCGGTTAAAGTTGAAGTAACCAGGGATTTTAAAATTAAAAAAAAGAGGATCGATTTTTAAAGTGTTCCCAGTCAGAGTATACAAAACCTACTTATCAATAATATATGGAAGACATTTCATTCTGGATAGTGTGTGAAATGAACTAGTTGATAAACAAGTAAATGGGAATACAAGAAGTAATTGAAATGCATTAAGGGTAAGGGAATACAAGCAAAGATGTTGGATAAGTTACAAATGGGAAAAAAAACTACAGCTGCATTTATTTGTTTATTTGTGTGTGTGTGGGGGGGTAATTTTGAAAGCGTCCGCGCACACACACATAGGTATGAGGGAAAATCAACACTTCGTTTTTGTTGTGATTTGATTTCTTTATCCAAACAATTGACTTCGCCGAATAATAGGTAAGACGACTTATTCGTTTTCCCTCACCCAGTGTATTGTATTTATCATTATTCAGTGATTGGATTTTCAGAATTCCATGATGATGTCGCTGAAAAATTAAGATCAATATTCATTAGAAATTGTATAAGTTAAACTTGGCACAGTAATTGATGAGAGTTAATCAGTTTAAGCTTTTATTATTTAAACACATAAACATTGGTACAAGGAGGCATCAAATACATATGCGCAACATAAATCATTCGATTGATGTGAGGGCTGGGATACTGGATATGGAGTATCCACCTGGAGGAGTTGGAAAACTCTGATTCCAAACCAATGATGAACATGGGCCCCAGGATCCTGAAGGAACCAATGGCGTACGAACCAATCGTTGGTCACCGGCTACCATGAGACTGCATCTCCTTCGTTACTCCACTGCCTTGTGGATCAGACTTTTAGGTCGAAGGCTCTGGGTGTGGCCCCCTAATAAAACCACCTGCTTCGGTTTGAGCACCCAGGCAGTATCACAGCTCTCACACATATCAAATGAGATTTGTGTGGCGCATATGTATTTGATGTCTTCTTGTACCAATATCTATGTGTTCAAATAAATAAATAATAAGGTGCAGATTATCTGATTGTGATCCGTGTGATCAATGTGACCATTAGCTGGAGACGATGGGTGACGGCTCAAAATGGATTACAGTGATGTATATGTATTCACTTCTTTCTTTCCCTTGGATCGTGAATTCAAGTTATGTACCAAGAATAAATTTATACTGATGACTGTATTCAGACGTGATATCAGTAAAGAGTTTTCTTCAAACAACCAGAATCTCTAGTAATGTTGCTTTTCTACAACATAAGTAGAGAGGTAGAAAAAGTTGACCCTGAAATAGCACACCTTAAATTGCCTCATGGATTTCTCTCTCCAGATGCAAGGCCTTCTGAAGTACAGACCTAACTCATCCAAAAATATTCACGAAGAGTCCTTGTATGACTGTCTTCAAGTGATCGTTTTTTTAGATTTGTAGTTACGCTGCAATTTAGCTAAGATAACCATTAATCCAGTATATTTTAAAACGCCTTACGAAAAAGGAATTTCCTCTCGCTGTGCTAAGACGGTACGCCAACTTAAACCGGTGTACATACGTACCAAGTTATACTTTCCATTTGACTGAATGACCAGCTGACCTTAAGAAGAACTATTTCTCCAAGGCGCAGGGAACTGGCAAGTGACAACTACCCTCATATAACTAACAGCACACGAGATTACCTCAATTGACTGTGCCATATTTTACGTTAGGTTTTTTCTAATACATAGGAGCTATCGACCAAAAACTGACTAACAATCGAGTCATTTTTATCACTAATATTAATATTACGTTAAATAAAAACACAATTGATTACTACAACTAGTCAACAACTTACCATCTTCAGTAATATTATAATCTAATTTTAATTTATTCATACTATCTGTACAGTGAATTAATGAATTTGAGGAACAACTGGATTCATTCTGTGTGGAACTATTCTTTCCAATTTTCGTCATTGTTGCTGTAGATAGTTCAACATTTCCATCCATTTTATGTGTATTATTACCATGAAAATCTGATTGATTTATTGTACTACAATTTAGATTAGTATTATCATGATTATTTTGATGAATTAAATTGGAATCTTCCATTGAATTTTCAACAGTTTTTCCCTTTGTCTTTTCTGCCTCATGAAGATGATGATCATCACCCGGATGATCACGACAACAAGTAGTGGGAGAGACAGCAGAGGTCAGTTCTTGTTCATTTTGTTTATCTTCCAATTTTTGTGATTCTTTCTGGTATTGTTGTTGTTTTCTTAATTCATTCAATTGATCTTTTAAAGCTCTACATAATCCACCAAGTTTTTCTACTTGTTTCTTGGCATTCAATGATTCTGACATTTCTTTTTTATGCTGTTCAGCTAATTCCAACAAACTACGTTGACTAACTTCCCATTTACCTTGCCATGCAACGGCTTCACTCTCACTTAATTGAATACGTTTACCAAGCTAGGAATTAAATATCAAAAAAAGTCTAATTATTACGTAATCTGATTTTGATTTAGGTTATGAATTGATCAATGCTAGACCATCGTTAAAATCTGAAAGCAGTGGACTAGCGCTAACGCTTAATTTCTAGACCGTTGTGCCGACACCCAAAGGTATTAATGTCTAACTTCAACCAATCCACGATATTGTGCCACTATCTTCCATTGTCTTTGGTGAGTGATTGCGTCACACCCGACACGGATTAGCTCTACTAGTCATACATACACTATAATTTAGTGTTCCACTCATTTCAAACAATCTTCTTTGAAAAATCTTTACGGTAGTAGCCTGTACCAAGTGTAGACAATATTACATTCAATTCAGGACGTTAGCCTTCCTTCCCTATGATGAGATTACTAATCCTGTTAGTTAAAGTTTTCACTACTGTGACCTTTGTACAACAAGCGTGTGCTGAACCATAATCTAAGTCTATCTCAGAAAGTACTGATTTCCAGAATATGTTGAGTTTTAACTTTTTATTACATCTTCTTTCAATCAAACAATTCAGGAACGCTAGTTTTTGATCCATGGATACCATTACACTGAGGATAGCTTAATGCTATCCAATATATTCCTCACATTTCAAAATATTTATTCTAAGCCATTTCGTTTGATAATTATAAAAATGCCGTCTACATACTGTAACCAAACTTTAGACGGATTAACACACTTTGCGATCACATTAATTTCTAAGGGATGCATGAATAAACTTATTACAATCTGAGAAACGAGTGAAACCATTGCTACACTTTCTTTCTGTCTGTACGGATCTCCTCGGAATCAGAATGTGGATATTGTTATTACTGACACTCATCTTGTAAACAAGCCAAATATTTATTAAGTACTCATTCTGGCATACTATTCCATACGAAATTTATATCACTTTGTACATTGTGTAATATGTAACTAAACATTTAATTTGATGCGTAATTACACCATTATTTCTTTCATCTTATGTTAAAATTTATCCTTAATAAGTAACTTAACAATTTAATTCCACATATGAACTTATTCGTGCTAATATTACATCAAAGTAGTCAATACAAGATTGATAATTATAGAGTGGAAGGATTTGTAAAGATTGTAATATTTTCATAGTTGAAATCATGAATCAACCAAAGTTAGACGACCGGTTGGAACGTGAAAGCACTGAACGGTCGTCTTGCCCTAGTATTGGACTCCCTAGAGGTGCACATCCACAACTCTGCGTGCAGGAATCAAACCCGGGACCTTCGGTCCCGCGTGCAAATACTTAACTTATGGACCACTGAGTCGGCCGGCATCCAACGACGTTAACATCTAACTTCAATTGACCCATGATCTTGCGAAACCCTTTATCCATTGGATGAGGTGGATAACTTTCTCATATCCGACACGGATTGAACTGCAATGATCACAGTTACTCACTAGTTAGTTACTAGTGTATATATGATTGTTACCAACATGAAAATTTGTTGGAGTTTTGTTCTCTGAGCTGGATGGTTTTGTGTATTTTTGGTCTGCCATAGAATCGAGGGAGTACTAGTCCATTGAATTTCATTCTCTATTGGTCTTGTTTTGTTATTTCTCCTGCTTAGACCATCCAGCTCAGAGAACAAAACTACATCAAAATCATCCACCTGAGCTACAAATCTTCCCCACCATATGAGAATTTGTGGTGATTGTAGTACTTTTACAGTTGAAATCACGAACAACCTTGTTCTATTTTACTGAAAAATCCTAAGAAATATATTTACTATCGATCCAGTGGGTTTTTTTTTTGAATTTATAACTGTAGAGAGAACCTGAAATGAATTTATTGCAAAGAATATTGTTTATTCAATTTAGATATCATATTCTAATTTTTAGACCATACGTATATATATGAACAGTGAACCAATCAGCAATCGCCAAAATGACGGATAAATATGATTGGCCAAAAAGTGACTTCATTTGCAAGGTATGAAACACAAACCACTTACTGATTGGCTTACTTTCTTAAGAGACATGAACAGAAATATATATATATATATATATATATATATATATATTGTGGGACTCCTCAACAGTGCGCATCCACGACCTCGCCCCGCGTTCGCGCGCGAGACTGATAGGTCCTGGGTTGGAACCTCGTGGGGCGAGGTCGTGGATGCGCACCGCTGAGGAGTCCCATGATAGAACGAAACGCCCGTCCAGTGCTTCCAGGTTTTCCATAGTGATCTAGCTTCAATCGGCTTATGATCTCAACCATTGAAATTACTATAATATCCACAAAACCCTCCTGATATATATATATATATATATATATATATACTGAAAAAAATACATTTTTCTCACCTTCTCCATTTCCTCTTTAGCAGTATCAAACATTTTCCGACTATCTGACATTGTTTTATTGAATGATTGATATTTCTCTTTATAGAATACAATCTGTATGTATGAATGGATGAAATGAGAATTATGCAACAACAACAACAACAATGATGATGATGAATAGAATAGAATAGAAGGGAACAAAAGTATAGTAAGTAAAAGAATGAATAAATAAATCAGTAAAGACTCTTGAGAATAAAACTAACTAAGTAATGATGAATCTGTCTATGTATATTAATCTATTTCATTGTACTTGTAAAACTTGGTTGTAATGACCATACTTATATGTCTTTAACTTTATTCACTCGTTAACATGTATCGGGAAAGTTAGAAAAAAAGTGTAAAGAAATCTACTAAGGATGATACTTCATTCCATTTTATTGATTAGGGATATAACATTAAAAAGGAAGATTTCGAGTTCTTAATAATCTATCCAAAAAGGTGCAAAATTACATTAATTCTATATATAGTTGAGACAAATGGCATCAATTTAAAACAACCTAATTTATGTATATAAAAATAGAACTACGTACGACCTGGAGCCCATGTGCATCATTTGGTTTTGGAAACAAGGTTCTCCAACTCCCCTAGGTGGGTCCTCCATATCCACCACTCCGGTTAAAGCGCCGGATATTCGCTTTTCATCCTCTCAATTTCGTAAGCACCCTCGATGCGAGACGGCAGTGAGTAGGACACCCCTGACAGTGACTGTATACGCGTGGCTATAAGAGAGCATTTCGAGAAGTAGAACTAACTCTCCCCAACCTAAGCCATTTGGGAGCAAGACTCCTATTCATAATGATTTTTGATGTCATTATTATTACCGCAACAGCTACGACACAATAATTCCTAATTTATATTAAATAATTTTTGTTTACACACAATTTCAGTTTATTGATTAGGAATCATTACCTTAGGGCATAGAATTTTTTTCGTACCTTTCATGTATATCTTTCTTAACATTATTAACGATGTTAGTTTTTATTAGTAATTTGTAATAGTCACAACTTAATCGACGTGAAATTTGTTATTTTCAATGCAGAATCTGAATGAATTCACCCGAGCCATGTTGGTAGATTCAGACTACTTGGTTGGGGTCCGCGCGACTATCGTAACCACTTGTTGGAGAATCTAGGTGAAATGGCTCAGAATCTATCACAATGACATAGGTGTATACAATCTTCCTTTAAACTATGAGATTAAAATCGCTTAATATCTTTCCTTCTATGAACTAATTCTTTCTTCCTGTATTATATCGTTAAACACAATCCTTCTTTTATATATTAACACCACTGAGTTAAATACTTCTATGACTCCGGTGTTCATCTTGTTGTGCTAATGCAGTATGGCAACTTGGAGCGATGCACATATGTGCCTGATCCTACATTGTAGCCGACTAACTGACTGAACTTTAATATTTTATCAATTGTAACTTCGGATCCGTTGGCCGGACACTATTAGCAACAACCTACTGTGGGAGAGAACAAACCAGATCCCAGCGGAGGAAGAAATCAGGAAGAAGCGCTGGAAGTGGATAGGACACACATTGAGGAAAGCACCCAACTGCGTCACAAGGCAAGCCCTCACATGGAATCCTGAAGGTCAAAGGAGAAGAGGAAGACCGAAGAACACATTACACTGAGAAATGGAGACAGGTATAAGAAGAATGAACAAGAATTGGATAGAACTAGAGGGGAAGGCTCAGGACAGAGTAGGTTAAAAAATGCTGGTTGGCTACCTGCGCTCTATTGGGTGTAACAGGCGTAAGTACGTAAGTAAGTAACATCAAGACATGTAATATTAATTTTAGATTTATAAATATAGACACTAATGATGATGAAGAAGAAGACGAATTCATTTGAAAATGATAGTTTATAAAGTTTAATACTCATTGTTTATATATAATCAATCACTCATTTATCCTGATTATCTCTTCTTATTGGCTAAAATTATCAAGATCTCAACATCCATTCAGATGATATAATACTGTTAAAGCAATTAATCTCACAAGATTATTCAATGTGTATTGATCAATGTTAAAATCATACGAGTAACAATCATTGCAAGTGTGCTGTTTTAATGATTAAATTTTGTGCATGACTTTTGCACTTTACTGATTAGTTATCACAGCACGTTACATTTAGTTTTTTTTTTAATTTTCTGTGTGCTCATAGTCATGTCTTCGTACTGAGTTGTACTGTCCTCAATCGTTCTGTATAAATATCAAGTTTTACTAGACTTTCGCCTTATTTCTATGTTGATAGATTAATATTGAAGTGTTGTGTCCAAGCTTCACTTATCGAGTGGGTAATAGAATAGTTCAACTGTTTTGTAATTAGCAATTACTATTGGTCATTGCCGAAACTCAAATATCAAGATAGAAAAAATACTGACTAGAGTATTGTTGTTCTAAGCAACGAAAAGTAATCATTACTAGTAGGAGTTTTGAACTATCTCATTGTTGGTTATCAGAACTGAATTTTCGATCAAATTTTGTTGACTTATACTGGAATCTTTTGTAGATCTGAAATAGATTTTAATTAGCAGTGTAATATAAAACGCGCGTTCCCTCCCATTTAAGTCTACACAGATGGGTGTACCTGTATCCTAGTGTTTATGTTAACATTGTGGCACACGTGAACGAAGGCGACTGAGATTTGGTGTTGAATAACAACAACAGGATAATTCAAACACTTATCAATAATGATATAAACTTCATACTTATTGAACAAGTTAGTGACTATTTAGATTTGATTAATCAGTGGATAACAAATTGATTTTAGGAGCGAAATGTATTGGGCTGTATGTTATAGTGTGAACATCAATACTACGATGGAAGTACATCTAGATGACGTGTCCATGACAAGACGAAATGTGTGCATCCTGGATTCTATTGCAAGCTAGGACCGGTCTATTATTTAAAAAGCCCAGTTCAGATCAACATGTGAAGTGATTTTTTTATAGCTACGTAACACAAAGAGTTTTATGCATTCAAGTAACTTGGTTTCAATAATAAGGTAGTCAATTTTTAGTGACAATTTATGACTTTTAAATTGAAACAATTCCAGATAAAGTGGATTATTGAAATTTAACTGAGTTCTTCAGTCAGACAGAATCCGCTCTTGAGAGATTTAAACATCCTAAATTCCCCTTTACCAAATTGCCTGAGTGTATGGGTAGTTAACTACATAATATAATTAAACAATAAACAAATCGCGTAGCTCAAATCTACTAATTAGACCAATTTCTAATAGTAAGAAATAGCTATTTAAATTGTCTTGATTAGGAGGGCGTACCCACAATTTCGGGTGGGTTGATAATTCCTGTGGTATCTAAACTCCAATAGCCTAGTTTCACAGTTTGAGACATAACCAATGAGCTATTTGGACTATGAGTGATTTTCAGGACAGCTTCATGTAGAACTTCACACCATAATTGGTGTCTTTCTTTGAAAATATTGGCAACTTAAAAGAAAGACATAGAGTTAAGAATGTTATAAAAAATAACACATTTTCTACCTGTTCTTTTAATTTGTCTTCGATGGTTTTTTGAATTTCTAAACGATTCTTCAAATATTTCACTTCCTCTTCTAATGCAAGAATTTTCTGTTGACTTTTCGCTTTTTCCTGATCCAGTAAACAGTGTGCTTTGTTTAATTTTGCTTCAGATAATTTCAATTCTAAACTACGTGTTTCAATAAGCTGTAAGAATGAGTGAAAATATGGGGTATGATAAGGAATATATACATGTATGTGTGCGTGTATTGAGACAAGCGTTTTAATTTACTATGGGTAATATGATATACCTTGAAGCTCTACATCAAACATTTAGATTTGAGCAGCTGGGTAGTATTGGCAAATGGTCTCAAGCGAACTGAGTATGAATCCAAACTGCATGCAAAATCCCTATGCTTATCACCTACATTATTGTGTCAGTAGACTAAAGTTATCGAACAAAAGTTAAACTACCTGCCGAAGGAGATATTCAAGTCTCTATTATGCAAAGTGTAATTTGACTCCATAAGGAGGATTTTAATACTTTGAAGTAACTGGGCCTGATCCTAATGTTAGTATGTTAGTCTCATATAAATTTGTTGCAAACTGATTTAACTACTTGTTTTGAATAAAGCTGTTAAGGTATACATGGTGCAACTACTTAGCTTTTTGTTGAGTTTTAACGGTTTTCACATACAAAACCTGAGCTCTCGATTGAGAAGAAAATCCCTTACACACCATGTATTCTTAAGCTTTGTTGATTAGAAGCCAATTTCAGCCAGACAATTCAATAACATACGACCTACCAAAAATGTTTGTCAACGCAAACCGAGAGGAAAGTGACTGAAACTAATCTGAAACAAAATAGTGAATGGAAGAGACTGTAGCCATGCAACTTCTAATTTTGAGTTAATAGGAACCTAGAAGCTTTGAGTATGAAATATAATTATCTTGATAACCCCGAAAATGGAGTTCATTACTTTCCTACATGGCTTAGATTATGGGTTAATGACTTTATGACTTGAGACCATGTCTCATTTTGGCTGTTCCTAATTTTTTACCAGCTTACTCTTACCATAACGGATATAGCAGTTCTAGAAAAACTGTGACTGAGGCATTTTATACATATAAATCCATATGATAGAAAAACAAGGCAGTTAAAGGAGAATTCATTTTGATCGATTTGAAAACTTGTGGGTTGAATTTGCCACAGATCGGCTTCATTTAGAGTACATTCTAAAACCAAGGAGTACTAAAACAAGTATTTTATCTTAATATAGGGGTTGGGAGAAGTGCGCAACCACGTCACCACTAGAGATCGAATACAGTACTTTTTCCTATTGCGACGAATTCCCAATTCAATGATCCGATTGTATAATCTCAACTAGATGGAAACAGCAGTGTGGTGTTTTCTTGCTTTAAACGATGTGTTAACTGAAACTAATGTGTGATGATTGTAACCTAGATATTAGGCCTGCATTTTCATAATCCCTTCCGCTAACTCAAAAATTTTCGAATTGGTGAAATCCGATGAAAAAGGGGGTGGAAAACAGAACGTAAATGAAATAGATTACTTAAGGCATAATACTGATTAGTCATGCAGACCACTAGACAGACTAACTTTATCTACATGTTCTTCACGTTTCTCATGCTGTTTAATAAATTCACCCAATTTATCAGCTAATTCTTGATTCTCCTTGCGTAATTCCACATTTTTCGACTGATATTCACATAATTGATTTTGGATACTTGTTATACTCGTTTGAAAATGATCTGAAACTTCTCGACGTTTTTCATCTTCAATACGTGCACGTGACAAGCTCTCTTCCTGAAATAATAAGGATACAAATTTAAAACAGTAGAAGTTAGTTTTGTCTATAATCTGACTTTTCACAACTTTTGTGTATTACTCCATACTACTTACTAATATTCAGTAACCCGTTTCATTTCTTGTAAAGTTTGGACATACAGCGTATAACGTATATTTGTAACCAAATAATATATTTAAGTATTTACCTAAACTAGTAACATTCACTCCATTTATTATTACAGTTAAATTCTCTAAACACTTCTAACAGTCACTTTCTTGAATCTTTGTTAAAACTCAACAGCTTCCATATTTTTGTGCTTTTAGTCACCCTGTTCTATTGTTGATAGCCACAGTTGCAAGGTATCATTTTCAATGTCATATGCTGTGATCAATGCCTCCCTAATTAATGCAGGAATTAATGCCGCATCCAAATATACAGGCGCGTTAACCACTGCATGTACCTCAAGAGTTAAAGTTTGTAGAAAACTTATATATATTTTGTAAAGGATATGATTTGAGAAGGAAGAATCAATTCATATAATAGAAATTGTAACGGGATTTTGAAAGTCGCTATCTAAAGTAATATGTGATTGAGACCGACTCTGATCCATGTCAGCAGATGTCTCTAACTGTTAGTCACGATAATCGCGTTAACCACGACCATGCAGGCTGCACCTACAAACATAGTATCATTTATGCTACTGAGGACTATGGAAAACCAGCACATACATTCCCTTCTAGTTAAGATCTATTGTTCCGATGAATACCTGACTCATTGGGACATTAGGGTTTGCAAATTGTATTGTTGTGCCTTAGATTGTAAGGCATGAAGGTCTCTATCAAGTTATATAACAAGATACATTCCGCTTAATGATACTACCCAAATAAACGTGAAACGAAAGAGGTCAAATGAGGTTCGAATTTATGAGTTAACGATAGGAAATAAAGGTGACTTAGTGATTGAGGGATTCTACTTTCAACTACTAGGTTACAGATTCGAATCCCGTTCCACCTCTCTCAGTTTGAAAAGCTGAGTAATACCACGAGCCCTTTGACACATACGAATCTGTAATTGGTGAGCTATATTATCTATTAAGCCATTGCTTCAAAAGACATAAACCACCTCAAGATTTCTTGTATGTATTAAGGATACCATATCACCAAATAAAATGTACAATAATTTTCCTTCAGTCAATTTCAACACATTTTCTTGGTTTCTTTTAATAAACTTTCAGTGTATGCCAGTTGTATTTAGTTACTTCATTCTCAATACATTTTCCTTGTAATCAAGAGTTCATTATAATTATGTATTTAGTGATAATCATTCAGTTAATAAAACTATGTAATCAATCATTACTCAATTGGGATACAATGAAATTAGCTTGTATGTACATTCAGTCTGCTTTGATTTTATTCAATAAATCCTCTTAACAAGGTCATTCTTTTGGAGTAGCTGGAGAGATGAGCTAGAAGTGAATGGAACTATTACACGTGGTATGGCAGTTGCCTTTAGATTTATCATCGTATATTCTGCATCCATAACAGTATTGTTTGCGTTATTTTTGGTATAATTACAACCAAAATCAGTCAAACATTAATGATGTGAAAAGATGCATAGAGTACAAGCAACAACAACCATGATGTATTTCATAAGTTATTTTAACTCATTACTAATCCGGAAATTCGATCAATCAGTTTTCATAACAAAACAATAAACTACATCCATGTATGTGTTTGTACAGTTTAAGTTTTAAGATTTAACTTTCTTAATATTAATAAGAACTAAAAATTTGATGAATATCTGAAACTCATAGAATTATTCATGTGCCATACTGATTGACAAATACATACAATCAGCTATTTCTTTCTTATTTTAAGGTAGAGGAAAGTAAGGAGTGGCCAAACCAAAACGTGGCATCAGTTCATAAAGTCACTAACTTCTGATCTGAGCCATGTTGGTAGATACAGACTACTTGGTTAGGGTCCGCGCGAATACCGTAACCAGTAGTTGGGAACTCGGAGTAACATGGTTCAGAATCGATCACAATGACGTAGGAGTATACACTCTTTTTGTTCCCTCAAACCATGAGATTAAAATTACTTTATACACACAATAAGAGAAACGTTAGTATACTTAAAATCTCTACATGAGAAAATTCTAGAGTTTTCCCCAAGTATCCACTAGCGCAGATTAGATTAAAAAATAACCAATTAGCATGCTCCAACATGATCCCGCACAGAACGTGCTTTAATTCAATCTATATTCCGCTAGCATATGCTCATCATATTGTGCCAATAAAGTATGGCAACTTGGACCGATGCATACATGTGCCTGATCCTACATTGTATCTGACTGACTTTAAGGTAAAACCAAATATTACATAATAAGATCTAACGTTAGAACTACAAGACAACTATACTTCACACTGAGTTAATTTAGATCACCTAACAAATCTAAATGATAATAATCAATATTTTATGTAAAATCTGAAAGTTCTACTTCTGATCTTGAAAGTAAACAAACTGAAAAACGTTTACAACTAAATAAAACTGAGATTTTTAATATTACAGAATTTTAATTACCTTCAATAAAGAAAATTTTACTTTGGTAAAAATGATTAACTAAAAAGAAAACAATAAACAAAATTCCAACCTGAATGATTTTATTTTGTTTTTGTAATTCACGGCATAAAGTTTCAAGTTTATCCTTTTGTAGAATTAGACGATTACGTTCATTCTGGAGTTGATCACGTTCAACACGCACCTTAAATGGAAATATATATACTAGCGATACATAGGAATAGTTTTAAAATTTATATTCAAGTCGAATGGATAAAGTGATTTTTGGCAAATGAATTACATTATTATTTAAGTAAGTCAAATAGAAAATTGTTATATCAGACGTGTTGTAACTGTCAAAGTGCTATCATACTTAAAACTGGGAACCATTGTGATATGACGGATTGCTTAAAATATTTCTTTTTCTCTCACTCTTGGGTATACTATGATAATATGTTAATACGATAATGAGGCTAATCACGTTATATTATAATGAAGATCCACGACCCAGAATACATACTAGATAATACTTCATTCAACACACTAACAAACAATCAGTTTCAGTGAGTCCGAGTGGAAATCAATGAGAAGAAAGGGAATTATATATCTAATAGTCAGTAGGCTGTCTCTGGTTGTCCACACTTAGAGACCAATCATATTTCACTTCCACCAAAACAAATCAGATTGTGATTTCCACAATACAAGCAAGAACACGAATATTAGTGAAGATTTTATTGACTGTTCCAAAATAGATCGACGATACTTACTGTAATCTCAGATAACTGGTACTGACTACTTGAATTTAGAAATAGTACGATGTAATTAAGAACACGAAGATGATAAAATAAATCGAAATATATATCTGATTACACTAATTTGCGTATGATTTATGCTGATTAACAATCAGATCTGCATACGTTAAGCTGAGTAGCATTTGGTAGTAATTGGCCGATAACTTATTTTAAGAACATAGATTTACATAAAATCCATAATATTTTAACTTATATGATTAATTCTTTATAAAATGCGGTCATATAACAGAGACGATTTGGAAAACAAAACAATTATACACGTCACTTGAGCTTTGATCAATTAAGTCTTTGCTCATCATATTAAGAAAAATGATTAATTTGACAATCATAATTAGGTTGTGAAAAAATAGTTCAGTATGGAAATACGTAATAAATTATAAGTTTATGAACAAAAAAGTTTGATTGTGGTCTACTATTACACTAGGTAACCGATAAGATGAATAAAACAACTTAAGAGCCAGTTAGACTATACTTTGGTTATTCCTCAACTATTTACTACTCCCCAACAACCTGATCTAGAGGTTGATATCATGATTTTAAGTCTCAACGAAGGGGAAGCATAACTGACTTAAGACAAAGAGTAGCTAGGCTTGATGAACTATTTTCATAAATTTTTAAAGACAGTAGTTTAGTTTCAGCAGTAACAATAAGTAAGGTATTAGCCAAATTCTGGGAGCTGCATATGATTACGTCATAGTTCATAAGAAAGAACTGAAATCTTCCCGTAATAGATACAGAGGGATCAGTTTGACTAAAATTCTGCGAGAAGTTAGAATATAAAACCATCTAACGTTTAATCGGAGTACAGAAACATTAAACTAGACTCATTTCAAACCTGGACATGAACATGCAGGTCAAATATTCACTTTTGGCAGGTTTTTGAACATACACAAGAGCAAGATGTCCACCTTTTAACCATATATGTTATATATGGTTGAATGACCGAATAAGTAATGCCAATGCCAAGTGCACGATATTAGGTGAAAGCAACAAACCAACTGATAATAACACAAGCCTTTGTCGTCCGAGTTGGAGACCAAGCACTACATATCCTAAACACTGCCTAAATTGACATGGAACGTAGGCTGACAAGATTAGTTCGGCAAATTGGTAATTCCTCTAGTTGAATGCTCAAAATGCGTGAAGTGTTAAAAGAACGCTTTATTTTAAGGTTCGTCCATATACGGAAAATCGAGGGTATTTATGGCATTTCAGATTGTCTTATGCTTCTGGAGGGTTCTGGAACCATATTAAACATGGTAGCAGGTTAGGTTAGTATCCAATCAGAAATGTGACACATGGATCCCCACTTTTTAGATGCTTCTGAGATACTTCTATTCAACGCTGATTGGTTAAAAAATTTCCGGCGTTTTCAGGACCCCTCTGAACTTTTTCGAGGAACATTTTGAATCTCTCCAACAGAAATAGCTACATACTATTTAGTAGTATTGACATAAATTGTATATCTAACGATTTAAACGTGCTTGTTCAGATATATAGGCTGATGGAAGCATTGAAGGGTAATGAATTGACAAATAAACCAAACTTCCTTAGTTTCAAAAAGCTGGAAATTTAAACTCAGTCCATGATATAACTGTCAACTGAACAAACAATAAATGATCTATATTCCGTAATTTAAAACCGATCTATCAAAAGAAATGCACACTAATATTTGCTGAATAACGTCCAAGATATTTGACGTTAGAGTAAACTTGTCGCAAACTTATGAAGATTATTAATGCAGAGATTCATTTTGTCGTTATAATAAATACATTATAGTTCACTTAAATTACGAGATCGTACTAATAAACACTCTAAGCGAGTTCAAACTCATGGGTTCCAGAAGGTCGGCATATGGCAATACATTAATAACTGTTTAGTTTGGCCACAATAAGAACTATGGGGAGAACGTATAGTGCCACCAACCTCTATTACTTAGGAGGAGACAGTGAGATTATAACTTATGGACGACCTTTGAGCTAAGCTAGACTGACCTTGAATGTCCACCTAATATCTAAGACCAAATGAGGGTTCTAAACCTGTGTGCGGAATGAGAATTATTATTTACAGTTGATGATTAACGTTAAGAATTAGATTTCGGGTTTCCATCACGAACCGATATCAGCTATAGTTCTAAAACTATTTAGCCAAATTGGATGAGTGAATTTCGCGCCAATATCCGGGGCCTATTATCATATACCTTGTTGGCTCATCCATAAATTATAGTCTCGCCGAGAAAACTACTTCGCATACCACGCAAGTTTTAGCATATAAGTGTTGATGAGAATATAATTTACGGACGACCTTTTAATAATGCAAAAAGAGATTTGAAAACGTCCACCTTATTGGGGTTAAGTGAGAGTTATATATTAGTGTGAGGAATTAGGACTAGTGTAAATGTGGACGTTAGAGCTAAGAATTAGATCTAAGTTTATCACGAACCGACATCAGTCACGATGCCAGAATACAATTTGGCCTAGTGTATGACTGAATTCCGTGCTAAAATCCAAGACTTAAAGTCCTAAATTTGATTGACTCGTCAACAGATTATAGTCTCGCCAGAAGTACTAATCCATATTGGGAAACTTTAAATTGCCCAAAATATATCTGCAACAGTGTCAGAATATTGACATTGTGCTTATAGCGCAAAAAGTCTCACCCTATTAATGAGTGGTAGCTTATGTTACTTAGGTAACTACAGTTAAATTTAACAGGCATTTTGTGTCAAGTGAACAACCTAACCTACCTGTTGTATACTCTGCTCAAACTGTTTGTTTTTTGAAGAGTTTTCCTTCTGATTTTGATAAAGTTCATAGTATTTCTGACATATATATTCAAACTTGACATCGCTTGAAGCATTTTGAGGAAGTTCTTTAAGTGTCAAATCTAAATGCTAAAATGAAAAGCTGAACCCCATTAAACCACCTATTAATTTAGTGCGTTTCTTCTTTTGTTTGCTGTCATGGTGCGTTTCTATATCCTGGGTAGCTGAAACTTCGTCCTTATCAACCATCTATGACTTGGAACTTGATCGTAGCGTACTTGACGTTTTCACCGCGACAACGAAACGCTCTATCCTACCAAATATTAAACGCTGAATGGTGTAAATGGAGTCACTGTTTCTCAAATCTGCCTTTAAACCTCCATAAGGGCTTCTGATATAATTATAAGTTTAGTGGCCCTGATATCTGACTCCAGTTATGTCGTTCGATGACTTAATAAATGATTGTTACTGAAATATGCATTCCATGTACTCTCGTACGTTATTATCGACCTAATTCTCATTACTGAATAACGGAATTAAGTAAATCAAATGCAAGAATCGAGTCTGAGTACTTATATTTCGTACACCCATTGATCTGAACAGACAATCAAGGAAACGAAATAGAGAGGACATGAAGGAGAGAGAAAAGCAAAACTAGATGACTTTCAGTGGAGGAGACGAGTTGTCAAACTGTGATGTTTGAGTTAACTAATGATTCTTTTGTACTTGTTGAATGCTCGATTTCGAATTCCAAATACAATACATTCGTTTGTGCTTGTGTCTCACTTCTTAATTCAATTGCGTTAATTCTGGGATTCCTAGTTCATACGACAATTAGAATACTATATTGGCGTCGCGATGGAGCCTGCAATGGAAAAGTTAGATATTCATTCAACTTCGGACGTTTTTGAAGATTACTTTGAAAGGTTCGAAATCTGGGCTATGACCAAGGAAGATGATGAGGATGTTAATATTGTGGCACACTTCCTCACATTCATTGGAAAAGAAGCATACAGCTTATTAAGAACTCTGGCTATGCCGGAAAAGCCCATTTCGCTTCCTTATACAGCTCTCAAGGAACTGCTGCTAGACTATGTTCAGTATACAAGTTTCGAATGCGGTAAAGGAGGGAGATCTCGTAAAATGATTCATGAGGATATAAAAAATTCCACTACATTACGTCATTCCAACTCAGTTCATACTCAAGATTATGCAGACAATTCATTGAGGAGATGCAATGCATTTCACGAAGATGGGCACAAGTTTAGTCAGTGTTTGTCCTGTGGCAAGTTCCACTCTTTGAATTCATGTAAATTTCGTAATTCTAAGAGCTTTAAATGTGGTGATATTGGACATATTCAGTCAGTCTGTAATACTAATGTTCATCTGATTGCAACTAATATTAAGACTTGTAATTCTGATTCTACTGAGTCGAGTATTCATGATGATCATTTATCTTTATCAACGATTTCAAAAGACAGTGCAGAGTCATATGGCAGTTCAGAGTTAAATGAAATCCAGAATTCTTGTGAGACAACAGTTCCTAATCAACCGATTTATCAGAATTCTCATGCTATTGTACCAGGTATGACTTTTCCTAATGATTCACATATTTCTAATGAAATTACTTGCAATTCTGAGGAAAATATGTTAAATGTACCTAATCATGATCGAAAACCTGATGTGGTTTGGATAGATGCTGATTTTTCTAACGATCCTACGCTCTGCAATGACAGTCCTAATGAATTTCATAAGAATATTTCAGAAGAATCAAATCCTGATGTCATATCATATATTACCTATCCTCATAATGCATTTGATCCTTGTGAAAAACCTGCTCAATGCGAAGCACGAGTACTAAGTGACCTCGAGTTTGATTACATTTCGGATGATTTCATATCAACTGCTGTTTACCCTTATCACAAAAACAGTTCTAATGTTTACTCTAAACAATGTGAGAAATATGTTTTAAATGAAGCCACATTACTCATAACTTGGGGATATAAAGATCCAACATTATTTCGTGGGGGAGGATAGTGTTGAAAAATCTATGGTTCGAATTCTAGATATTAATGATTTCATTACAAAACCAACATGCTGGTTGTATACAATTCCAGGTGAGTCTGTTCCGATTTCGTTTGTTAATTCCAATACTAATGAGCACTTTCTAGATACTACAAAGTTTTTATGTTATACAATGTTGGACAGACTCAGGATGAACTTAACAGGAAGACGTACAACCGATTACAAACACTTATACTTCTATTTAAGCTGTGGCGGATGTTGTGTTTGAATTAACTAATGATTCTTTTGTACTTGTTGAATGCTCGATTTCGAATTCCAAATACAATACATTCGTTTGTGCTTGTGTCTCACTTCTTAATTCAATTGCGTTAATTCTGGGATTCCTAGTTCATACGACAATTAGAATACTATACAAACCCAATTTAATCAAGCGTTACTCAGCATTTATATTCAGATCAAAAAACGAATTACAGACACTTAATGAAGTCAAAGCTTGACTTGAGAGGAATGGATAAATTGGTCTGTCCGGAAACTAGAGTAGCCTATGTGTACGGCAGTGTATTTGTGGGCGATAATCTATATGTCATACTATATGTTCACAAACCGGAATGGAAGGTTCAAAGTCATGTTTTTCTAACCAAAAGGTTTACGGTCAATAATGGTATTTGCGCAACTATAAGAATTAATGAAAAAGTGCGAGTAATCACGAAGACTAACTGAAAAACAAGCCTATTTCAACTATTCCCACAGGAGTAAAAACCGTCATCTTGATCCTTCTAAAACTTGAAATGATCGAAGGTTAGTCTGATATATATAACTCAATCTGACAACATAGGACATCTTAATAAGATACCCATTAATATTGTAGTGACCTACTTTTACCAAGAGAACGCTATTGATTTAACGGAACCAATCATTATTATAACCAATTGTACCATTGATTGTTTTAATGTGCTCTTTTGTTTAACTGTGCTAAAGACAGCCATATTCCTCCTCCATTACTCTCCATTATTTTTCCGCGGCTTGTGACCTCGTACGTTCGTACTCCTGCCCGACGATTCCACTTGTACTCCTTCTGGCACGATCTGGGTATTCGTCTGATACCCCGAGATCGCCAACGAAATAAATCTGGTTACGCTCCATCTTCGCCTTCTGATTTGTTTGGAAGGCGTTTCCTTGTAGTGGTGTTCATAGTCAATCACGACCCGACACCACACAACAATATTCATCGATATTAGTTACCAGTAAGGAATTCGACGACTGATTTTGTCTAAGGTCTTGGAAAAGTTTGAAGGGCGTTTAGACTCACAATAGTTTGACCCCACTGAATGTTGGAATAGTTTAGGCGAATAACACCGTACTCCCTGATCTCACTGAAAAGAATTGATGCTGAAGTTGAAACAAAGTAGAGCTTATAGCTGAGTGTTCAACCAACTAGACCACTGAGCGGCATCCAATGATGTTAGGGTCTAACAACAACCAATCAATGAAATTGCGCGACCAACTTCCATTATACTGAGGTAGATACCTGTCTCTACCCGACACGGATTAGCTCCACTGGTCACAGCTCCTCACTAGAACTCCGAGAGCACATTGGTTGCCGGCTCAGTGGTCTAGTTGGTTAAACGCCTGGCGCGAGACCGATAGGTCCTGGGTTCGAATCTCGCGGGGAGCGGGATCATGGATGCTCACTGCAGAGGAGTCCCATGCTAGGACGAAACGGCCATCCAGTGTTTCCAGTTATCCAACGGTGGTCTAACATCAAATGATGTGGCCTTCACGTGAGATCTTATGGATTAGGCAGTTACATCATGACAAATCTACAATTTTAGAACTAGGTCTATTATTGGAGCAGTACTAATATCAAAGCAGACCATGATTCCACAAGTCTGCCCTCGACTTTGGCCGGCAAACCATTCAATATTCAGTGACCCAACTTTCGGGTGACTCGGCTAGGGTCTCAACATTATACGGGGACTCTAAGATACTGAATATTAGAACATACCAGCATCTCTGTACGATCGAAAGTCTAAGTTTAAAGTCACTTCATTTTAAAATTACCCCAGCTTACTTGACGCGGCCTTAAAAGGTCAAAGTAACAGAAAAGTTCTGTATTTGAAGAGCACGGCGTGGAACGTTAGGCAGTATGCTGCGTTGATTTTCTGGTATACGCGCGTTAGTAAACACTGGATAATCTTCAAAATATTATTATTGATGGACCGCTACAGCTGTCGTTCGTTTCTTTGTTTGTTGTGGCCAAGTAAAATTTCTTCATTTGTTTAGTGTCTCCTACTTGTGGATACTAGCCGTACCATGGCATCAAGTAGTTTCAGTATGACTTCTGTAGACCGAGACCCGATTTCCCGATCAAAGGTTTGCCACTTGAGTATTACTAGAACAGAATTTAAGAACTTTCAACGAGGAAGGAAAGCAGGAATTTTTCAAACGCGGATGACGTACACTTCTTACATTCATTGGTAAATTAAAGGTGATCTTAGTGAACGCTGGAAGCAGTTGTATGTCGTTTTTAATCACACATTTGTTGATTTTTCTGGTGATTGCTGTAATTACTGAGAAATTTCAAACTACCGGCTATTCAGTTACTTAGGTATTGCAGGAAATAATGGTGGAAATTATGTCTATCAGTAGGACTATTGATTTTTTAAGACAGTCGGAGCAGTTTCTGCTCAACATACAATGTATTCGTCTGAACAGCAATGGAGTGTTTCAAACACTTAGAGATCGTTGTGTCATCAAAGTCTGTTATAAAATTAATAAATATGAAATAATGATCCTTAACATGTAAATAAGAATCCGGTTTTTCTCTAATATATCCCTTGTTGTCAGGTTCATCAATAACAATTAGTTTCACAAACGACACCTCTTTGTGGATTGAACCTGTCGAAAATATTATTTCACCAGTTACATATGTGATCAGATATCGCAGTTATACGCGGACTGAAAATTCCAAATTCTTGATCCATTCAAGCGCCTTCTTTGCGAAACAACAGTCACTTAAGTTGCAACCATAACTTTCGAACACATTTTGCGACTTGACACATTGTAATAAAGATTTTGTATGGTAAACTATCCCCCGAACGCTAACTGTTTTCTTTTGGTTAACAACAGTACGGCAAGGTAGACTGGTATTATTCATGTTTGTAAGTGTTTAAAACAGTTTAATCTCTAGCCATCTCCGTTTCGTAATATAAATATGTGACGCAATCCCTTTGTAATCGACGGCATGTTCGCGGAACTCTGCTTTGGAGTCTTTTCGCTCGTGCATCAAGTCACTTCACGTGACAAGCTGGTAGTGTGTCTTTGAGATAGTGCACTAGTGTAATCCTCATAGTTTTTATTTAAAGTTCAGAGTGTTTGTAATATCGTTTAACAGTAAGGTTTGATAACAAGTCCATGAAAAATAATACTTAATATTAATCTGTACACCACTCAAACACTGCTAACTCATTAAATTCACCTAACGTTTGTACTTCACATATTTTGTTAGTGCCTATACGTGGAGAACAAATCCATGAGACCGTTTTAAGAGAAGATTTAAGGGGTTCTTTTATATAGCATTTCATTTTGAACAACTTCCAAAGCGTTGAATTCGTAAGTGTTTTATATAATGTGAAGCTAATCAGATTACTTAGCTAAAAACAATAAACAGGATGTCACGTATTCCATTATTGAAGATTGTAATAATACATTTGGATTATATTGTAGGACAATACATGTAGTTTAATCGGTTTATCAAGTTTTTCAGCTAAAGAGTTAATTAGTGTGGACATGATTTTGTGATATCACTTTACTAGACATGTAAATGACTCTGCAGTATATATACGTGGAATAATTGTTTAAACGTCAAAGTTACGAAGTCAAAATTATTTAACCCCACCCCGAAAATTGCTGGCCCTTATTTTAAACGTTTGTCAATGGTGTCCTATGCTAATTATTCGTCAATCACACTTTGGTACTGTAAGCCATGCCCTTCATTTCGTCTCAGAAACTAAAATAAAGAGACTGGTTTGATGTATGAAACTTTAATGATGTCAATCACAACATCATTGACAAGCCATAGATTTTTTCACCAATTGTACGTCGGTTTAAAACGATTAAAATGCGCGAAATAGCTTTTGTCCCTGAAAGATTGATTGTTAACGTGTATTGCAATTATAAATAAAGTTCACAATGTATAATTATGTACATAAATATCAAAACTGAGCTAAGATATCCTATCAACAACAGGCGTTGAAATTTCAAACGGTTGGATATGTCAGCTTTACGGGACAATCTACATCAGGTTGAATAAGAAGTTCACCCTCAACTTGATGTGTACACATTGGGATTTCCCACTGCACATAATCATATGTGCTACAAAGCAGTCTGTTCCTCAAATGGCCGCCAAAGACTGCAAGCAATCTACAGTCATCAAAAACTTCACCCTCCGTTTGCTAAGCCGCGAAAGACACTACTAGACAGAATACAGACGAACTGGAGACAACAGTGTATATAAACAATTCAAACTAATAAGGGACATATGTACATAGACATGAAGAGAAGGCAGGCCTCAGCAACAGATATAGCTAATCAATAGATTTGTCTCGAAACCAAAAAGCTTATTCCGTCATGCAGTCTCACTTCGAAAGGCGGGTCACTCCTGAAAATTTAACCTGCTAAATGCGGTGAACAGATGGGTAACCATCTATGATCGGAAGGCAGAGGCTGACGTCATATACCTTGAGTCCTCAAAAGCTTTTGGTAGGGTGAGTCGTATATGCGATATCAATAAGCTTGAACAGTTGGGTATCACGTCATTGTTTGGTTGATTGTCTTTATTCATATCTTAGTAATCGACTTTTTAAATCCAGGGCAAGCTTCAGCTTTCCAGGCTCTCGAATGTTATAGTAGTGCACCCCAGGTTTCGGGACTATGGCCTCTTATCTTCTTAATTTGTATGAACGACCTTCCTCGGTGTTACGTTCAAGTTTTTGCTCACTTCCGTTATTGGGGTAAAGTATATCGAACTATTTGCAACTTACGAACCCAAATTAACAATAGAACCAAGCCCCAATTAAAGTATCAAGGTTATTCGCAATTTACAACTAGTCGACAAAAATATCGTTCTAACAATAATTAAAACAGTTACGAAACAAACCTTCAATTTTGTAGGTTCCCGGAGCAAAAACCCTCAAATACCAAACCAAAAACGAAGAGAATCCCAAATGTCCGAAAATAAAGATATAAACAAACAAGTTCAGAGGCTGAGTAAAACAAACATATCCAAAAACACAGTGAAATTGTTGATATTTAATATAAAGGTTTTAATCAACCAAATGTCCTTAATTCTCCTGTAACATTCAATAAGTATCGTCTGATTTGTAACTTCACATTGACGATTTGATAATCTGGAGAAAAGTGTGCTTGTCAATCTTAACTGTTTTTAGATGAGAGTATGTGTGTGCACTTTTTATCCTACTCACTACATGTCTTTAACTTATTTCTATCTCACTACAAATATCAACTAATGCCTGATAAAATGGAGTTGGCTCACTTGCCTCCACCGCTTGTCACTTCGCTTTGTACTCTTCTCTTCACCTTGCTAATCGTTTGTATGGATCAACGATTATTTGTAATATATGTATTTGAAATCCATTCTCGTATTTGACTTATTTAATTCCGTTATACACTAATGCGAGTTAAGTCAGTGATAATATACCAGGACTGGCGACGTGTATATTTCAATACCAATCGTTTATACAAATTGGAGTCAGATCTCGGACCACTAAAGTGGTGAGCCCATCGACATCATCATCGTCCGATCTAATAGGTGTAGAAAAAATGACCCACCGAAGTCAATGGTTCTTACAAATACCATAACCACTACACCTTAAATAATATAATAATATGTATTTTTGCAAGGGCAGGTACACGCCATTTTTACAGGCATGATCTATGAATTACAGCGTTTATTGTTTCACAGTACACATGCTAAATAAATATAGTCTATAAAAGTGAGTATCAGTCCATTCCTTCAGATATACTGAGTAATTTTTAAAATATTCTCCAAAAAGGCATTGAGTCTACGTTACACCCGAGATTCGATCTCGGCATAATTGAGTTAGGATTTCGGTCGTGGGAAGTATTTATGCAATCCAATTTTTGAGTTTATAGGTATTATAAAGTGAACTTGTAGGGCGCTTGGTGTAAACTATGACCTTGGTAAAACGTACGTCTAGTTTGTTCCGGATGTCAGAAGTTCCATTCTGTGCCTTCAGAGCATGATTATGAAAAGAAGGAGAATCCGAGGAGCAGCAAGGCACTTGGGTATGAACGATAAACAATGTTTAGCACTTTGTAGTGGAACGGACAAAGGTATGGTAAATTAATAGAATAAATTCATACTAGCTTTTGTAGCTGAAGTGAAGTGTGATCAGAGGCCCCAGATGAGAAGATGCAGTAATAAAGAACAATGAGTTGTGATATTTACCAAGGTGGAGTAAGTTTAAACGAAGAAAGGGAAGTCAGGATTGGAATAAGTGAAGCTGTTTATTAGAACAGGAAGTACATACAGACAGTGAGGTGTTAAGAAGACTACTAACTATATCTTTTATTGTCTGATTTTTTTCTCGTCCGATGCCTGCCACAGTCTTAATGTAAAAGTTCGAGGTGGGATGTTGTAGGTTGTCTCAGTAGAATAGCTAATCCAGCATGTAATTGGAAACATGAGTCTGAATGGTGAGCGTAGGAGAACAATTTCACTGTCACAGATTGGTTGACTTGTTCTCAAATATAAAGAGCCTGATACAAACAAGATATTCTGCCCCACAAACATGGGTGGATTGAAGTCATCGCCCTAACCATCCGTGAGAATCCGAATTTCTGCAATCAATTGTACCTCTTCTCCCTAATTTCATCATATATCTGTCCGTCTGTGTATTGAATATAGACTCTGTATGATCTAGAATACATTTTTTAGTATTAGAGTTTGTAGGATCCAAACTGAGGTTCGGACTGAAGAATAGCTGTCTAGATGGGTTAGATACGCGCCCTTGTCCGGATGAAACTAAAAAACAGTGATTGGTTAAAATGAAGGTTCTGAAATGCATCATAAATTTAAATGTTCATTGTTACCTAAACAACAAATATGACCACCCAGCTACACAACCGATATACGTTCAATTAATCAAATCTGAATTACAATAAATATGGAAGTCGATAATAATAGTAATATATATGTGCAGGTACACACCGTTTTTACAGGCATGATCTATAAATTACAATATTTGTTGGTTCGCAAAATGCTTCCCAACTTATTAAGTTTATAGTTGTTAAAAAGTGAAATCGTAGAGCGCTTGCTGTAAACTATGACTTTGAGAGGACACGTACGTCAAGTTTGCTCCAAACGTCAGAAGTTTCATAGCTGTGCTCTCAGAGCAAGATTCTGAAGGAGAAAGAACGAGAAACAGAAGAGCAGCAAGGCACTTGGATATGAACGCCAAAGGTTGCTTAACATTGTGTAGTGGACGGACAGAGGTATAATAAATTAGAATAAATTCATATTATGTCTTGTTAGAGTGAAGTGAAGTCAGGGGCTCCATATAAGAGAATGTACTAATAAAGAACAATGAGTTGTGATGTTTAACAAGTTGTAGTAAGCTCACATGAAGGAAGGGAAGTCAAGGTTGGTACAAGGGAAGTGGTTTATAAGAAGGGTGTGTATATAGAGGGTGAAGTGTTAAGAATACTAGTGACCATATCTTTTATTGTCTTTTTTCTTTTCCTTTTTTGTCCATCCGATGTCAGCCACGCAACCCTAGCGTAAAAGTCCGAGTTAGCATGTTATAGGTTGTCTTAGTAGAATAGCTTATCCAGCATAATATTGGAAACATGAGTCTGAGTGGTGAGCGTAGGAAACCAATCTATAAAGGATGAGAGAAAATTATCAATCACAACAAATAAATATTATCCTATTCTGTCTGGATAGATCACGCACAGGTTCGTTCAGAAGATAATATTTGGTTGCTTTATAACACAGGTTTCCAATTCTGGAAGTGCCTCAGTTAGCAATCAAGAATGCACAATTCCAGTCAATACAAGCAACACAACCAAAAGGATGAACAAACCAACATGGCTGCCGCCAAGACTAATTATCAACTAAAACAACATGAATGCAGTTCAATAAGAAACATGGAAAATTAGTGAAGGCGTAAGAAAAATAAAAAACTATAATAAAACACAAATGTTAGCAACTCAAATGGAAACAAAAAGACTAACAAAATGTACAGCTAAAGGAATCAATAGGAACAGACTACGAATGTATGCATGGAGGGATTTTCACACACAAAAAACCTTCAAAATGGATCTCATAGAGTTAAAAGCCGAAATCGAGACAGATTCACCTGATTCATGGAATTGTGTTATGTGTACCTAAATCATTCGAACCATAGGTTTTCGAACATTCTACACCACAAATTCAGTGTCTGGTCGATCATTTCCACAATTATATGTGACGTCCGTGGACTCTAAACATCTCATATTTGAACGAAGACTTCTTCCTTGTGATAGCTTTGATGGGGTTTCTTTCGCTACTGAATGTTTAACATTTCTATATAGTAGTAGACATGTGCCTACTCATTTCTCCTGGAGTTAGTAATTCGTTAAAATATCACAGTATCCCAAGTCGAAAAACATTTAGAAGTGTTTTCACTCCATGATCATAAGTATTATGCTTACTGCAACAAAAATGCCCTTCGAACAAACTTCGCAACGTTAACATTAAAGCTCATTTTCGGCCACTTCAACAACAGAACTGTGTACATAAACTTCAACAGTCCCACTCGACTCCATTTAGAATATGGGAATATAATGTTTCCTCCTTCACACCAAGTGGGTGAGAATATATTGGAACGTATTCAAAGGTGAGCTGAGAAATGATTTCAGGGGATTAAAATTCAAGCCTTATGAAGAAAGCTTCAAACCATTGAACCATTGTCTATTAGAGTATATGCTTCTCAGAAATGACTTACATATTAGCATTTTAAAAATTCCTGAGCATCTCCTTGAACGCCTACATAAGTTCATTTTCAGCGCAAACATCAGAAGTAATACTCAGAAATCGGAGACAAAACATAGCAGAACAGACTGTAGACGCACATTTACTCTTTATGAGTAGTCAAATTCTGATATTCGCTGCCACCTGAGCTATTCCAAGCGACTTGCAAGGAGTCGTTTGAGAGAAAACTTCACATATTTCTAAGTGCCAAGAGCAGGATCTCACTATAATTTGCTAAAATTATCTTCACTTTTATCGTTATACTTAACTATATTCTCACCTGACAATTTTGATGATCCACTGATACTAAATACAAAAGTCTGAAAATCACAAGCTTTTAGTATTCCACCCAGAACCACATCAATCATTTGATGACACGGAAACATCCGGTGGTGACTTGTAACTCATGTTGAATTTGGAAATCTTTGACAGTGTCAACAACCAAGGTCACATAGGGCGGGAAGAGACTTGGCGATCGAAATTTGTTAAAAAGCGTATTGCGGAGTGGTGAGTTCTGACGCTGTTTTCTGCCTATGAGTACCATAACATAATCCCATATGACAGTAGAATTGGTTCTAAGTATATCTGAAAGTTAACAATGTTTTCAGTTTTTACAGTCAAGTTCCAAGTGGTTATTTCAACATGTGTGTATTCCAGTAAATAATTCACTGAGCTAAACATATAGAACGTTGATCAAAATATTTTATAACGCACTGGGTTTACAAAGCGGAAAATGGGGTTCTGTGATATTTGGTTTCATCAAAACAATAACTTACTCGAGCAGCCGAGAAGGGAAATGATGCGAAGATGTGTTAATATTATGGGGAATTCTACTTTTCCTCGAAGACGATTTGAATTTCTGGGGAAATGTTTCGGTGAAGGGTGGTTCGTAACTCTCATTTAGCCGCAGTATGTGGGTGCACATTCTCAAGTTCTCTTTATCTTCGCTCAAAGGTCGTCCATGAATTATAGCCTTATCGACACTTACCTACTCCATAATGTCTATTTTCCCCCACGATTTGCACCTAATCGTCTACTTGTCCTCAAAATTAACACTAAACATTGAAATGTTTTGCAGTATTAACGAGTATAGTGGTTAATTTGTAACAAAACTTTGTGTACTGATATACCGTATACTTCGGAAGTTCGCTTTTAATTCCTTATGGCAAACAAATTATATGCGTGCTCGACTATGCTCAACATATTGATTTAAATGAAGACAATTTTTACATGTACAGTTTTCAGGGTCGTTTGCATGAGGGAAACAGTGAAACGTCCACATTGCAAATGGCAGAAAAAGTTGTCTTCAACCGTAATCTAAAAAATAATTAGTGAGAGGCTTACGTACATGTGTGAAAAAAGCTTCTCAGTTCAAACGAGATACTCATGCACATCAATGTTTACCTGGTACATCTAGTCAGTTTAAACGTACTCCACCAATGTGAGAAGTTTGATTATGGGTTTAAGGAATATTTGTTTAACAAAAACTATTTACACTAAGGGCCGCTCTCACAATAAAAGGGGTTTTAGTGACAAACAGTGTTTTCATCACTTGAATTCTAAAACAGAACAGCAGTTATTAGTCATGAATGCTTTGATAAATTACTTATCAAGCATTTGTTTCCTGGTAAGTGGGACCTACATTTATGTTGCAAAGAACAGATGACGTGATGTAAAAAAAACTAAAACAAGACGTTCAAAGCGATAAGCGCACTTATATTACTTCAACAATAACGCTTGTCCACTCATATGTGAAAACCCCTGGGTAGCCACATCGGGCACTTTTGCAAGATCACGCTGGCGTTGAACTAAAGAAATTGTGACATTAACGCACATTTTTGACAACATGAACTAGAATGTAGTCTTACTTCGTATAGCGTTGAAAATCTGTACTTCATGATGCTCCGTTTTGTAACAGTACGCATCAATGTGAAGTTCATTACTAATTCTGGTTTGCTCAGGTACAATGTTTTAATTTATTTATTTAATAAGATAAACAGTGGTGAAGGGAGGCACCAAATAAATATGCTCCACACTTCGTCATTCTATTTGTGTGAGTGCTGGAATACTGCCTGAGTACCCAGACCCAAGTACATGGTTTTCTTGGAGAGCTATTTCTCGAGCCTTTAACATAGAGGTCTAATTCAAAAGACAGTGGAGCAATGTTAGGAGATGTAGTCTCAAGGAAACGAGTGACCAACAATAGGTTCATACGCCATTTGCTGTTTTAGGATTATGGAGCCCATGTGCACCATTGGTTTGGAATTAGGGTTTTCCAACTCCCCTAGGTGGCCCCTCTGTGACCACCGACCTGGTTTCCGCACTGGACATTCGCTTTTCGTCCTCTCAATTTAGTAAACAATACCCCTGTCACGAGAAGACAGTGAGTAGGACTTCTATGATAGTGGCTGTATAGGCGTGACCATGTGAGGGCACTTCGAGAGGAAGAGAGAACTCTTCTCACCCTAGGCCGTATCAGGGCATTTGAAGACTAATGAATCAGAAGTTATGCATGTATCCAGCCACTTCAATGGACGTGGCTTTAAGAAACAACGTGGATCCGTGCGGCGGTTTGTTCACTTTAAAATGTTTGTTTACTATAATACTCCGTAACTTATATCCTGCGATACATATGTATAGGTCCAAGTTTTTATTAATAGTAGGTTAAAATCACTAATATGGGCACCAAGTTTGACCTACAATCCTAACTTAGATCAGACAAACCTACCTACCTCAGCAATATCTTAGTCTAATACCTTTTCATAGCGCAAAAACATAGTTTACTAGGTTCTCACACATGTAATGAATTTGAGTCAAAGTAGTCAATTCATGAGCGTCTTGTCGTCGCACAAAAAGTTGTATGCCGCCTTATCAACTCTGATTTTGATGTAAAAAGGTTCATGCATATACATATATTGTTTTTTGTGAGCACTTTAATTTGTGGTACGTATGCAACAACTGTTTACTAATAGCCCATACTTTACTTTGCATCCCACTTTTTGCAGTTTGAGTCCGTAAGGGTGTAAATTACCGAACATAACTGTAACTTTTTTTGTTTTTCCAACTCTTTGTAGATTCTACTCAGTCTAAGTGCCATGAATCCCTCTCCTGCTTTTTCTGCAGCCAACGGCACTGGGTCTAACTTGCAGGCTGGAAATACTGCCTCAGCTACTTGGATCAACAAACTGAAAATCGTGGGGAGAGGACAAAACTGGGCAGTTGCACCATGCGAACCGTTTTACCTAATGGGTACGGAACCTCCAGCCCCAGATGCCGCTCTCACAGGTGCTAAGAACTTAATCGAACATTATGGTTTGGAGAACGCTTATCAAAAATTTTGTGGTAAACGCCTTAGAGAAGAGTTAAATGCTTTCTTACCTCATTTATCTGGAAATATTGACGTCCCAGCCTCAGTTGATGAAAGTGGGTTGATGGTAAGTTTTGATCAATTTAGTTTTGAAAGATTAAATATAATATTGTAAAGGTCATATTAAACTATTCAGTTTGACTAGCTCTTATTCCATGACTCGGTTGATTTTACTTAAAATACGACACATAACAATACAACACACAAATATAATTTTCAAGTTATTCAGAATGTTGTAAATCAATATTCGCCTAACCATTCTGACAAGAAAATAGATGAATCATTTGTCAGAAGTATCCTCCTAAGCCTAAGATGAAACAGGCCGAAGTAACACCGAAAATCGAGTGCAAAAGTCTAGCCTTGTAAGTAAAACTTGCCACCAAATAGTGTATTTAATATTCAGTGTCTCCTAATGTCCATTTAGTAGGTTATTTTGTTTCATTTTAAGATAATTGGTCGACTGCCCTTTTCAACTCGAATTTTACTGCAAATATTTATTTGGTTGATCTCGACTTCCAATTTGCGATTGCTAAAGTCCCTTACAAGTTTTTAAACTTAGTCGAAAATCAATCTTTGCATTCTCCCTGGTATCTGCTGACAATCCATCGTGGTATTCAACCTTTGAGGGTGTTTATCAGGATCCCACTTAATTTACTTTTTTCATAGGTTTCATAGAGATTACGTTATATTCATCAGACGTTTTTAGTACTAACCTTCAAAATTCACTCGTTAATATAGAGTACGCAAATGATGCATCCCTTTTTGGTGAGGACTATGACTAGCTGCAGTCCTATAAATGTATTGAGTAATAATACAACCATATTTGGGATACGTTTGTCTCCCTGTAAACAAATTGTTTTAGGACTGTTTTGTGTCAACTTAACTAATCAGACTAAGCAAGTATTGTGGATCGCGGGGTGGCTACTATTCTACCGACTGACCGACTTCAAATATCCCAGTACGACCCCAATACTGTTCCCAATCTCCAATATATCAGAACACGAACCGTAGATGAAAAGTGTTTATGGGTCAGGAAAAGAATAAGAATTTACAGACAAATGCATATTTATACAGTTAGGACTACCGTGAATATTGACCAACAGGAAAATGACACCATTTCACGTCCAAGGATAGCATTAGACTTAACAGGATAATTTCTGGGGTATTTTTCTGAATATCCCAAAAGCAAGGTAGTCAGGGGTGTTGACTGCTGCACTTGCCTTGGAAGTCCCACCAAACCTAATTGCTTAGTGTCTAACGATGCATATCCCAACTCTCTTAACGTTTTGCATAGGCGTGATGCCCGTCCTACTAAAGCCCAGGTAAGCAATGCAGTATTCTGGTGACTTACCTTGTAATTGTGTAATGTAATCTTTAACAGAGTGAAACATTCGTAGGTTACTAGTATTTAATGATAGCTGTCTTCGAAGAAATGCTCATAATTGGCGGAATAATCGATCAAACAATATCAACATTAAGGGACTTAGCTGACACGGATTTATTCTTTCCAAGCCTTTCCCTAGATCTCAAGCTTCAATATTCCTACATACAGACTTTCCTATTTCTTTTCGAAACGCATTCTCAACATAATTTAGTAGTTTAAATTGATTGGGCTGATGTATTTTGGGAACTTGCGCTGATGCAGATTTATGTCAGATGTTATGTTAGTTATAACTGACTGTTGAGTACGCAATTCAAAAATGATGCATTCCTATAGTATTGAGGGATAGCTTTAGTCCCTTGATTCATAACCTAAACATTCCCAAACATACCTCTAAATTTCAACATTATGCTAATCATAATTAACAAATTTAACAGGATGATGTCAATGTTTAGTTTACACAGAGTAAAATAGAACTGTGTATCAACAATTAAACCTCAAATATTCAGCTAATAAATGTTGTTCTTTTTTCCGGTTTAGCTAAAGATATCAGGAGATTGTCTTCACTGAAACATTAATCAGATATTGATTAATCTGTATCCATGCTAGATACTAAAAAAATATTTGAAGTTAAACTTCAATATATAGTCGATCTAGGTCGTTGAAAAATACCGAGAAGTAAAATACCTTCCTTGTATATCTATTTAACCACCAGTTTATTGGATTTTAAGTTAGAGTAATTTAATATTCTTATATGAAAGAGTAAAATTATAAATAAGCGGCTGTACAAATTTGTTCCATACCACTTGTGTAGGTTATGCAAGAGTTGAAATTATCCCATATTGTTGCATTCTATATCTTCGACTCATCAGTTCAATTGATATTATCTTAATTTGATGTAACTCAGTTTTAAGTCACAATTTGTGTAAAAGTTAATAATACCACTACTTGTCCGATCAAATGAAAATAAGTCTTTAAATGCCCTCGTACGGTCTAGAGTGAGGAGAATTCTCTCTTCCTCTCGAAGTGCCCTCACATGGTCACGCCTATACAGCCACTATCATAGAAGTCCTACTCACTGTCTTCTCGTGACAGGGGTATTGTTTACTAAATTGAGAGGACGAAAAGCGAATGTCCAGTGCGGAAACCAGGTCGGTGGTCACAGAGGGGCCACCTAGGGGAGTTGGAAAACCCTAATTCCAAACCAATGGTGCACATGGGCTCCATAATCCTAAAACAGCAAATGGCGTATGAACCTATTGTTGGTCACTCGTTTCCTTGAGACTACATCTCCTAACATTGCTCCACTGTCTTTTGAATTAGACCTCTATGTTAAAGGCTCGAGAAATAGCTCTCCAAGAAAACCATGTACTTGGGTCTGGGTACTCAGGCAGTATTCCAGCACTCACACAAATAGAATGACGAAGTGTGGAGCATATTTATTTGGTGCCTCCTTGTACCAATGTTTATTTAAATAAACAAATGAAAATAGGTTAATTGAGTTTAAACATGCCAGTTATTGTTTAGAAGGTAAGTACTTTAATCACTAAGTCACTGTTTCGCTATTCAAGTAATGGTAGATTTCCATTATATGTACATAATAAATCTGTATATTATTTTCCTTTAATAAATACATATAGTCATGTAGACCATTTTGTGTTTAATTGAAATCATGGATCCTTCAATGTTAGACCATCTTTGAAAACCTGGGAGCACTGGACGGCTATCTCATCTTATTATTGTACTCCTCAGTGGTGTTCATTCACGAGCCCGCACACGGGATTCGAACCCAAGATCTTCGATCTCATGCGCAAACGCTTGACCTCTAGACCACTGAGCTCGCATCCGACGGTGTTGATATCTGACTTCAACAAATCCACGATTTTACTCGACCATCTTCCATTGTCTTCAGTGGGTCGTCCAGTACTTCCAGGTTTTCAATGCTAATCTAACATTGATCAGTTCGTGATCTCAATCGAGAAATTATTCATCTGTAAATGCTTTTATTTTCCCACATAAATAAAATTCATATTTATTGTACAAACCAGTGACCATCTGATTTCGGTAGTTTAATAGATAAGACATTGGACGCTTGAAACGAAATGTACAGACTGAATTCGAGTCTTAGTATAATGAATATAAACACTAGGACATAGTTATGCACAACTGATTAGTGCCAAGTAAGATGGGAACGCTCCTACTGAATTACATTTCTAGCCATTATCAAACTTTACTAATATTTATTTGCATTTGTAACTTTAATGTGGAGGTTTGCGAAGGATTAATTATAAAAATTAAATTGTCTGGTAGTGTTTCAGTTTTACACTGACTTCTTTCACTTAGGTTGTTAAAGGTACATACCATATTTTTCAGACAAATTTGGATATTTAAAATAAAATTGAAATCATTTGTCCATTCAATCACTAATTCTACTAGCTTTTAAGGCTTATTTCAAAGGACAGTGTTATAGCTCAACAAATTGAATGGACTGGCGAGGGATTTGTTAAGGTTTCAGTCACTATGGCCACGTTTTTACGCGTTTACTAATACACACTCACTAAGCAAATTGGACGGAGTTCCTTTGTTAGTTAAATTAATTTATTCTTGCTGTATAGGCAAATCCTACTTCGGTTTGGGCACCCAGGTAGTGTCATAGCCCTCACACAAATCAAATGAGATTTGTGTGGCACATATGTATCTGGGGCCTCCTTGTACCAATATCTATGTGTTCAGATAAATAAATAACTATAGGCAAATAGTTATGGTAATTTTTACCATTAAAAACTTCAGACGTTGTATAATAGTGTGTGTATTTACAATTTATGGTTTCGATTAACTATATACATATTAATACTTATCATTTGCATCGCGTTTTAGAGTTTAATTGAAAGACCTCCGATTCGAGGCAAGGAGTTAAGGCCCTTTGCACCCAGTCAGTTGGACCATGCCTTTCGGTTACATCCTGGACCTTTACCTCAAGAGTATGCCTCCCTTTTTGCAGCAGCTCCATCCAAGCATATTCATCGTAGTGTACAAGATCAGCAGCAACTTTTAGGAAGTAATGGTACAGGTACTCGTGTGCCGGCCACAGCTGTGCCTGGTCTCTCTAGTTCAGGATCTTTTCATCGTAGGCGCCGTCGACACGAAGTTCATCGAGGAGCACTTGCTTCTGGAAGTGATAGCAGTTCGTCTATAGGGGTGCCAGGCGTTGGAGGCGGAAATGTTAGTGCCAGTCCAGCATCATTTTTCACTGGACCACCGACAGCCTATCCTCAGTTAGGAACGGTACATACAACGACATCGTTATCCTCAAAACCTATGCTTTCACAGTCTCATACACTTTCTTCATCCTTAAGTATAACAACTTCTGCACCGTCTACTAATGTAACCATGCCAAATCAATCATCTACTGCTTCAGATAACAATCCTGTTACTCAAATGGTAAACCATAGTAAGTTAGTAGATCATCCACCTGGTCTTATTCCTGTGTCAGCTCCTCATTCTCATCTATTAGGATCTTCTATTCCAACATCGTCAACATCTTCAGAGCCTCCACCCCCTCCATTATTAGCTCCCATACATCATCATTCAAATCAAAAATTGCCACATTCAATTCAAAATACATCATCCACTTTAAATCCTTTATACAATAGTAATACAAGTGATGCTAGTTTAACACCAAGTAAATCTGTTCCACCTGCTCCACCGGTACTTCATTCTATTCATCCACCAAATATAAATCCTATCAATTTATCTGTTCCTTCACAACCCCCTTCTTCTCATCAGTTTTATCACCATCATCATCGTCATCAGCAACAACAACAACAGTTGTCATCACATCTACACCATCATCAACATCCACTATCATCAATGCATCATCCTCATCCTATTACATCGTCTCACTCTTATCCATCTTCATTAAGTCAAAATTCTTCTCGGTCAATGTCACCAATACCAATGGAGACTAATTCATCATCACCACAATCACCAGACATCTATAAAATACGTCGTTTAGATATGACTGATGAAGAACGTCGTAAAAAGAAACGACGTGAAAAGAAACGTAGAAAAGACAAGGAATAATGCATTGTCGCTGTTTCTGTTGTTATATTATTATTATTAGTAACTTGGTTAATATTTTCAAAATGTCATTTTTTTTTCTTATTTCTGTATTAAGTAGCGTTTTTTTTAAAATTTTCAAATCAGTTTAAACTAGAACATGTGACTCAATAATCTCGAACTACTGTGTCTTTTTGTTCATCTATATGTATAACTACCAGATTTTCTATATAGTTGATAATGTTGCAGAGTAAAATGTAACTATAGTACTCCATTATTGTGCACATTTCTTGTAATATAATTTGATCATTCTGTAAGTAATAACATTTGTATATAAAGGGGTATTTTGTTTTGAATTGTTATGTTTATTTAAAGATGTATATGTAAGTTAGAATAAAGTTAGGTGTAGCTAAACGAAGAAGTGTCATTATTTCACGAAGTTATTAACTGTTGAATTAAACCGTGTTTGTAAATAGATTCATACTACCTGGTTGATGTTCATGTAATTGTTGTTGTAAAGAAAAGTTGAATATGTTGAATGATATGATTCAGAGTTCGTCTCTTTGAAACAGATCTACTCATTCTTTGTCTTAAAATGCTTACGTATTTTTTATTCCTCAAACTCATTCTTTCTTCTTGATTCATATAGTCTATGCTTCATGCTTTCTATCAGCACCGATGCTGTTTTCATTTCTGCTACTCTGGTTGTGTTAATATTGTTTGACAACTGAAGCCGTTTTTTACGTTGTCAAAGTTTGCAACTATTCTAGGGGAACTCATTTGACTAATAAATAATCATTCTTATTTTTTTAAATCGTATATTAAACGTTCATTACAGACCAATCTGTTGTTTGAGTCGTAGAAGTGCTTATATTATCATACATTTTGGTATGGGGAAACTTCGATATGTCAGTGAGATTAAGCACATCCTGATGATACATACCGAGATTGACAAAAAATTTCACAAATATAGGCGAGTGTTCTTATCAAGAAAAATTAGCCGATGATGATAAGCCTGATTCTTAATCGGCTTCATTATGACACCTAGTAACTGATCCTCAAGTACTTATAAGTAAGAATTTGTCTATCCTTTTTTTTCTGCATTTAAAATTGAATGTCTATATCAACTATTTAAAGAACATTGAAAGAATCAATTAGGCACAAGTTGCATCGTAAGCAGATCATTTGAAATAAGTTCAGTGGTCTATCTTATTATATGATAACTAACGGTTTGTGTAATTTAACATTCACTTTACTCACCTATACTATTCTATATTTAATTAGAAATTCTCATTTCATTAAAATACATGTGTATATAAGGGAAGATTGTTCTTTCCAATAAATTCTCCTCAGTTTCTACAATTATAGATCTAAATCAATATTCCTCAAAAGTGAGCAGATTGAGAGGGGACAAGATAAATGTCAGCGAATTTGCAGTGTAACCGTTTTCCGATGTTCAGTATGCTTGCAGCATCAAGTATTCTCGAAGTTTTTTTTCATTTATTTAGTAATTGCGTGTTGTATGTAAAAGCATAATTTCCACTAAAGATTTCACTCTAAAATGGGGATTTGTGGAGATTGTAGTAATTTTAATAGTTGAATTCGTGGGTCGATCTAAGTTAGACCACTATTGAAAACCTGGAAGTACTGGACGGCCGTTTCGTCTTAACATGGGACTCCTCAGCAGTATGCACCCATGAGGTCGCACACGTCATTCCAACCCAAGACCTTCGGTCGCGCGTGCAAAACGCTTGACCTCCAGACTACGGAGATGGCATACAATGTTATTAATGTCTAACTTCAATCGATCCATGATCTTGCGCAGCCCTTCATTCATTGTCTGGGGTGGACAACTGTCTCCACTTGATGCGCATTTCACTCCACTAGTCACGGCTTCTCAGTAGGACTCCAGGAAATTCATCTTGAAGCTATTGACTAGGGAGTACATGATTATCATGAATTCAACTATTAAGATTTCATTTCAAACTCTTTCACTATACTATTTTCACTGGGCAAGTTACGGTGTACTACAATGACTTGTTTACAAAAGACATATATAGGTAGCCCTAAGTAAATAAAATGAAATCTTCAGTGTGAATCACTCTTTCGTACGCAATATTCACTAATTAAATGAACGGAAAAACTCTTCAAAATGTTATATATTGCAATTTTATTGAACATGCAATTGTCAATGTTGAATTGACTAGTTTGATGCAATGTTAATATAAATAAGTTTGTACGTGGAATGAAATCGTCAGATTACTTGTTAAGGGTGAATTATAATAACATAAGATGAAAGAAATAATGGTGCAATTACGCATCAAATGTTTAGTTACATATTACACAATGTACAAAGTGATATGAGTTTAGTATGAAGTGGTAGGCCGGAATGAGTACTTAATAAATATTTGGCTTGTTTACAAGATGAGTGTCAGTAATAACAATATCCACATTCTGATTCCGAGGAGATCCGTACAGACAGAAAGAAAGTGTAGCAATGGTTTCACTCGTTTCTCAGATTGTAGTAAGTTTATTCATGCATCCCTTAGAAATTAATGTGATCGCAAAATGTATTAATCCATCTGAAGTTTGGTTACAGTATGTAGACGGCATTTTTATCATCATTAAACGAAATGGCTTAGAATAGATATTTTGAAATGTGAGGAATACATTGGATAGCATTAAGCTAACCGCGGGGACATAGTATCCATGGATCAAAAACTAGCGTTCCTGAATTGTTTGATTGAAAGAAGACGTAATAAAAAGTTAAAACTCAAAATATTTTGGAAATCAGTACATTCTGAGATAGACTTAGATCATGTTTAGCACATGTTTGTTGTACGAAGGTCACAGTAGTGAAAAATTTAACTAACGGGATTAACAATCTCATTACAGAGTGAATGCCGAGAAAATGGAAGAACACCGTTGTCACCCCACACCCTAATAAAACTTCGGAAGAAATTGAAAGGATTCTAAATAAATGTAAATGTATTTTCATTTCAGTGATAGCATAAGATCAGGTTTCCAAAGGAAGAACAGTGTTGTCTACAAGGTCAATTGTCATGATTGTAATTCAGCTTATGTGAGAAACATCTAAACAGTTGAATGTGGAGTTGAAGAAACACAACTAGTGTTTGAGATGTCCCCAAATCCTCGATCAATCTCAAGAAACTGGAGAATAAGTCGGCGATAGCGTTACGTGCGTTAGAAACGGGACAGAAGAGCAACTTCGAGAGGACTAAAATACTTCAGAAAGAGATTGGCATGGGTCAAGAAAAATTAACAACAGAGGTGCTGCTTATATATGTTAAAAAACAGACTGAACAAATAAGATGGTATTCAATTAGCTACCCCTTGGCAAATGATCATTAACAAGTAGTTTGACCTTACCTACATCCATCTTGTTTATATTAAACGCAGCGTTGTTCCGACACAAATCAATTCGAGTATTTTGACAACGTACTTGGTGATGCTCGTTTCACACACACATAGAAAATTTTAAAACATTTGTAGGTTACTAACGCAGATGATCTGTATCGAACGATTGAGGGACTACTCGAGTTAGACGGGAATGGTATGAACAACCAGCTAATGTCGAAGCCACACCTCACTATTAATACCTGATGTGGAAACCCCCTTCCCCTGTCGTATACAGGTACTATGGCTGCTTTGATGATCATAAAACACTAACGATGTTATTACAGAAATATATTGGTAAAAGTAGAAACAAAGAACAGAGTGCGACCGCTGCTGCATGGGCCAGTCCTTGGTGTGCAATTAACTGATGTGTGTTGGTTGTTCTTGAACTTGATGAACTGTTCGATATTCAGTGACCAGACTGCCGAACTATTTGTCTAGGGCCCTATACATTTTCAGTTTGCACTCTCATCTTTACTTTGAATAAACAAATTAACACCGAATATTACTCGGTAACAACAAGCTATATAAATCGACACATATTCATTTATTTTCACTTTGTGTACCTTCCACATGATTCACATCAAACTGACTCATCCTATTTACTAAAGTTGCTTTCTGAATATGATTAGATAAGCACTTAGTATAGATCTGATTTAATTGTTAAACATTATATATTCTTTGATGGTCTTGATTTTGATTATTAAACTGAAGAAGTTCAGACAAGTTCGCAAAACAAAACGTTGAGATTATTTCAAATATAATACTACACAAACAATATCTGAATGAGATTAATTTATGGAAAGACTAATATGTATATAATTTATATTAGATCATATATTAATTCGAATAAATACTGGCCCATCGGGTCTAAAGTTGGCTACGTTAAGAGAAGAGGCTGAACATATTTAGTTGATATGCAAAGCTTCGATTCCTAACCTACATTTATGTTCTGTAATTTATAGTATGGTGACGTATATTCAGCGATTTTTGCAACAACAAAATAACCGCATTTTTACTCTAATTTGTCACACCTTATATGTAACCATATTTTTATTCAATATCTGTTGTTTTTCTGTATCACTTGTTAAAAACGATGATAATTGTTCCAATGATTAATATACGAATTTACTACCGCGTTGGTTAAAATAAAAAAGTGCTATTTACGCCGTTTGTTCTTCTGCTTTGTTGGCCACGGTTTTGATCGAAGACCATAATGGTGCTATAACATCCTTTTAGGCCTTCCGACACTACGTTGGACTTTTGGCACGGATTAATATTATTTAATACCATTGGACTCTGTCTTTCTCATTACGCCGTTGGTGCAATCACTTGCAGAGGAATCTTCGTCAATCAAGTGAACTCAATTTGTGGTTGTTGTCTCACAAGGCAGCTTACAAGTAACATTCATTCCACAATAACTGTTATTATCTGTTTGTTTAATGTACCATTTGTATTCGAACTATATTTTGTTACCCTTGGTTTTATTAGCAGACAGACACCTAGGATTTTTACTGTTAACTCTCTTGGTATATTATTATTAACCTGGTGTATCGATATATCTTGTATAAGCTCCTTTTGCTGGGAACCACCACAATAGAAAAATT